TATATATATATATATATATATATATATATATATATATATATAAAATTGTATATTTTATATATTTTAAATATTTAAAATTAAATATAGAAACATATAAAATACATAAGATTAATGAAAAGTTTGTTATATATGTATATAAATGAATTAAAATTAACTTTCAAAATTTTAATTTTTTTTTTATTAAAACAAAATTTATTAAATAAAATTATTTTAGTAATAGAATAATAGATATATAACTATAAATAATTATTAATTATACTTAAATAAAATTGTATTTTCAAATATTTTATTTTAATAAAAAATATATAAAATTGGTAAATTCTATTATAATTAATTTATCAAAGACAAATACATTTAAAATTTATTTGTATAATATTACATAAAGACTAAAGATAATTTTTCTTTCGATTTGTTGGATTTCTTTAGAATTCTATATTTTTGAGTTTTTTTTTCTAATATGGATGAAATTAAATTGTAATTAAACTACCACAATCAAATAACAAAATTCCCTAGTTTATTAATCACGAATGTTAGGTTTTCAAAACGCGTGTATACCAATAACTTTCTATAATACTACGTTATTTGTGTAAGATGGAAACGTTGTGATTACAAGTGTAAAGGTAGGAGCGGGATTATTGCGAGTGATTTACTTGTACATTTATTTATAAGAATTTTAGATAGCCTGACATTTGGTTTAATAATTAATTCGTGAAAATATTCTTAATAATCAGTGACAATATAATATTTGTATTAAACTATAAATATGTCTGACGAAAAGAAGGTAATACTTTATAACCTCAAAACTGATGTAATGGTAAGTGACGATTCAAGAGCATTCTTTGTTATAGGAAACTAAGACAGAATCAGAGCACATAAATTTGAAAGTGCTAGGACAAGATAGTGCAGTGGTTCAGTTTAAAATTAAAAAGCACACACCACTAAGGAAATTAATGAATGCTTACTGTGATCGTGTGGTAAGTACATATGATTAATTTATAATAATATTTTATTTTATTAGATAATTTTGAATTAAATTTTTTAATAATAAAATGTTATACATTTTATCTTTTACCTATGTATAATTTATATATTTTGGAATTATTATTATGTTTATAATTATATCCTATATATATGTGTATATATATATATATATATATATATATATATATATATATATATATATAGTAG